ACTGATGTGTAATGGACTTATGACTGAAGTCGATACCTTTCAGAAACATTTCGTTCTTACCATCAGCTGTAATCTCTCGTGAATGTCGCCGGATAGAACGATGGTTATGAAGAAATAGCGCCTGCGCTGCGTTTTTCCCCACCTCTGACAGGTTTACAATGGTCGAGAAATTCTGTACATTTTGGTCGTTTTTTGCATCGTTTCGATTATTGCCTTTCAGACGTTATCCGTTAGCGATGTTCTTCTTTTAGCTCGTTTTTAGAGTTGGGTATGTAAGCAATGAAGAATTCTGTCACAAACGATAAGCCAAGTTCCGATTGTAAAATTTCGCAGTACGACTTCGATCCTCCGCTAAGGTCTGCCCTCTGTCCGTCATGAAGGCTGAGCAATGCATCGCACTACGTGCGTGTTCCAACATTGATCAAAACTTATCGGGGACAACTATGCCACTGTTGCTTGCCCATTTTTTCGACAAGGTTGTGATTCTAGTTAGTCTGCCATTCATTCCGTAGCTGTTGTAATCCTCTTATAAGTAATAATTCACGTTTTCGATTCTGAATCCATTGTTGGTAATGTAACGAATGTGTCGATTCATGGTTCAATGACCAAGCAGATATTGAAAGGTTTTGTTGCCTGTATGATTCTATTCTAGTACAGAGCACTTCAGTAATTCTTGTAGTGAGGTAGGGAGGTTCGTTGAAGATATGCTGCAAGTACAAGATTAGTAATACGCATAGAATGCCGTCCAGAGGATTAGTTTATACCTGTACAAACTAGAACTGATTCGTTGTTCAGTCCATACTGGTAATTTGTCGTGTTTATAGCATTACCCCTTAAATTTAAGTCACAGTATTAACTTAAACCTGCGGGAAAGCACAGTAACTTAGCCATAGTGTGGTAAGACCTGCTTAAACTGATCACGGATTAACTTTTCATACCGATATGGATGGACAAAATTATTTTGATTTCAGGTATATCAAGCGAAAGTTCACTAAAAGGTATCTTCGAAATACGCGACTTGGCTATCCGTGATAAAGTGGCCATCGCGGCTCTCTATCAATCAGATTACGAGTTCTACAGTACAGTTGACATGATCATTGACCGCTGCATTGAGGAAGGCGATCTTTATGGAATTTTATGTACGGGCATCAGTCGAACCGGACCATGTGTACAACTGTTGCAGAGGTGAGCAGTTTTACGTTCCGTTTAATTCTTATATTAGAATGTTGTTTTCTGTAAGCATGTGCTAATACGGTTCATATTTTGTTAGCCATAGCTCATTCAGTTAATTATAGGTATAAATGATGAAAGACATAAGCACCAAAGATTTCCGCTCTTGTTTCATGTGCTAAGGTTGTTCAGACAGTACGGCGGTGATGTCTTGTCCGTCAGTTCTATTGAACGCATGTCGCATATGCACAGATGAACCACAACCATGGCTTTAGTCAAGTCAGTTCAATCCACCAAGGATTCAGCATATATAATAGCACGTTGTACAGTTCAGATTGACTAGCGGTCGTTAAACCTCAGATATCATCGTGGCTCGATCAAGTCGATCAGTGTAGTTGGAGAGAGCGTGAGAAGCTGTTAATGGCGTTAGCAAACATAGTGTTCATTGTTCGTATTTTCCATTGTTCGCCACTGTTAGCGACTGCATTTCCATTTCGCTGTACGGTCTTCTGTTTATGACCTTTGTCTGATCAATGATCTACGTTCATGGGATGGTTCAGTCACCATTACCTAGGAATCTGACTAGCAGAAACTTAATTTTCAGAGACAGTGCAAAATGGGCATACCTCGATGAAGCAAATCTACTTGTGAAGAGGAATATGACCTTTTCCAAATATGAAATTGAACAGCCATTTCTAACAGTTTGACATTATAAATTTTATGCTAATATTTAAATGCTGCCGGCCTCAAATGACGATGAATCCAGCTCCTGCATTTCAAAAAGAAGATATTGAAGCTTATAACATGTTCAAAACCGTTTTGTTTGGCCCTAATTCGAGAATACGAAAACTGATTCAAATGTTAAATTACATCAAACGTGATTCGGCATAAAACGTTACATAATTCGTTGGACTTTTTGTTTTCCTGGTATCCTCTAGTAGAACGACAGTGAGCGTTAATGGCGTGTTTTTTCTAAAGTAACAAACAGCTGTTGTTACAAACCAGTCTTAATTTTAGTCTTATGAAGATGATCATTTCAAATCGAAAAAAGCAGTGGCTTAAAAATGGATATCATAAATTGATTATTCAAATAAATACGCGTATTTAGTTTGTAACCAGATCATTTAAAACGGATTGAGGAGTGCGTTATAACTTTTCAAGTGGTGCAAGATTCGAAAAGATTTCACTGAAAGAAACCTAAGAAGATAGCCTAATTTTGTATTTTATGCCCTCTCCCAGTTTCTCGACTTGAATTCGAAGCATCGCCGAAGCAGTTGTACCAAGTTGTACAAAGGCTCATTTTCTTTGAAACAAAGATCAGAAGAAAGTAATAAATATCAGATAATTAGTTACAAAATATAGCTTGAAAACTTTATTTTATGCGCAATGGAAAACATGGTTCACTGTAAAGATTGACCGATACTAACGTTTCTGCCCGTGTTTCACTGACTTTCTTAAGTTAAAGATGCGGGTAATTTTCCGTGTCGTTTCATTTGTCTGTGCAATGATCGTCATTTATGAGCTGAGAGGTGAGCTTTCGTCCGTATTCCGGTTCAGTGCTTTTGCGGCGGCAGCAGGAGTGAAAAATCTTTTCAAATTCGCGCACAATTCGTATCATTTGTCTCGGTTTACGTTTAATGTCAGACGCAAAGTGCATTGACAAGGTAATTTGGTATCCAAGCTGAATCCATAGTATATCTTTCTACTCGTCTATTCATTTCGCTGTGAGTTTATTCCTTTATGGTGGTTTCCGTAATTTTTCTCTAGTTAAGAAAGGCGCAGAGCTGTCAGTCGATCACTATCTTGTTGTGGGCGCCCTCTATTGTAAACCAGGAAATGCCATACGAGGATCTGGCGGCAGAAGAAATAAGTGAAACAGATGTCGGTCTGTCTTCCTTCACTTTCATGTTTGGACCATTTTGGCGCCTTTTTTCATGATGCGGTGCTGATCTTCGTTTGTATGCCATCAGCATGAAGTGCTTTATTTTTTTTGAAGGCAGACTGTACAGCCATGTGGAAAGCATGGCGTGTATACTCCATTTTCTTTCCCTCAAAGTGTATCATCTTCAGAAGGAAGAATGGCGAGTGATCCTGACCGGGACTTCAACTCAGGACTTACCGCTTCTAAGTTCAACGCCCTACCGACAACAGGGTAAAATGTAAAAATGACCGGTTTAAAACAACATGTGGTAAATTTCTTACTCAAGGGAGTTCGTGAATTAGACAAAAACTACCCTCCAGCGGAATCTTATCTCGTACCTTCGGTGTTCGAAGCGGACCTGTTGGACAACTGCGCCAGTACTCCACAGAGAATCAAGTGGAAATCGTTGTTTCTGTGAATACGAAAGCGAAATTTGCAAACAACATCCCACTGATGACGACTGACGTGTAAACTGAGAGGAAGTTCTTTAACAGCGACTTTGTCCATGTTGCCACTTAATGCTGCGGATTTTTAAACCGCGCCTAGGGATCAGAAGCGACATCCCGGCGCACATCTGAGATTCACTATTTTTAGTGAGAGAAATGCTGCACTCTAGAGGTAACTTTGAAACAAAAGCGGTAAAGGTAGAAACAGTCGCAAAGGACGGCAGCAAAAATAATGGCCGAGGTGGAGGCCAATTACTTGAAAAACTCCAGTGCTGGAGTCGAGGCTATAAACAAAATACCCTGGCAGACCATCCGCCGGTTCCGAGGTGAAAAGAAGGACAGTCTCAGAGTCTTGAAGGACAGATCTGGACAGCCTTTTACCGAGGGCTATGACATTCTTTGGCGATGGAGGGTGTACTTTGAGGAACTCTTTAACCTCGCGCAACCGCAGGAACACCTGTAGAGCAGATGTATCCGATAGTACGGATATTACTATCTAAGTAGATGAAATCACACAAGCTGTGAAAAGCTTGACAAATTCAAAGACTGCTGAAATTGATGAAATCCGCCCTAATATGCTCAATGCATTATACGAACAAAGCATGTGCTGGCCTAAGCGTGTCTATCAAAATGCAAAGGCTCTAGGAAAACACCTGCGGAATGGAAAATGGGGGGAGGGGGTTTGTACCCTTTTTGAAGAAGGGAAACCACAGGGATGCTCAGTTATCGGGGCATTAAGTTTTTGAGCCTTCCGGGTAAAGTCTACGCAAAGTTAATAAAAGGAGGTGCTGCGGAAAAACTGAATCCAAGATATAAGAGCAGTGTGGCCTCCGGTTCGGTGGAAGCACCTCTGATCATATATTTGCCCTCGCCAGATTGTTGAGAAATCATAGGAGTCCGATATTGTAACATGGTCCTCACCCCTGCTTGTGGAGTAAAATTTTCGTCTACCGGATGAATGCACTGACCGTAACCGGATTTATGTTGGCAAGACCTGTCGAACATTAAATACTACATTAACGTAGCACAGAAAAGCCATCAGTTACCATAACTTTTGTAATTCTGCATTTGTTGCTCATGTCCAGATGAATGGTCATGACTTTAACAATAGCGGTTTCACTGTGTCGATTAGCAATAGCGGCCAGATGAGGCTGTTAATCAAGGAGTCGCTTTGCATCGTTGCCAGCAATAGTAGAACTTGTAACGGTTGCACTGGCTTCAATGACATTTGCACGGCGTTGAGCATGACTAATAGCATAATTAGCGACCGCTCTAGCGTTCAGCCAATCAGGTCAAATGCTTGCTGATTCAGCTGTTTGTTTTTGTTTCTTGTTCATTCCCTGGTTATGAGCGATGTCAATCCTCTCGAAACGTTAAAATTATTGTAAGTAAAACTTTTTTCCTGTTTCTCGTGTTTCCAACCATGAAATCACAAGGCCTATCACTTTCTTTTATGTTTGTTAGTCCATTATAGTTATTTCTTGTTCTTGTTTATATGTGAATGGCAACTTTTCAAGTCCTTTCGGGAACAGTTAAGTAAATGGAATGAAATTGAATGTTCTGCGAATTTTTGCCAAACGAATGTGGAGTTTCTTGAACACTAGGGATGGTAAGTTCCGATTCCTATGTGCGCAACTCGTTTCCTCAGTGTGTCATGGAGGGTTTTTCTCGATTTTTCGCCAATCAGCACGTGATCAGTTTCGCTTTAAACGCGACCTATAGCCGCTTTTCACATCTGCTGATCAATGCGACGATACGAAAACGGTGTCCCCCGATGGCGAGATCATATGTGGCGTTAGGATCTGGCGGGTAGTAATCGTTCATACTGGCAACACCACTGAATTTGCACCTTGCACACCGGTCAGTTGTCATGACTAATGTCTTTTTGGGCGTTGAGGTCATCGGCGACTATCGATAATTGATATCGTGGAGGGGAAGGAACCGAGAACCGCAAGAAAACATGCGTAGAACTGGTCCTTCTTTGGGAACTCTGCGATGTTGATAGGAAAATGCAAGGCGACAGAGTTTGTCTGAACGAGACTCCTATAAACTGACAGATGATGATTTTCGACGAATATCAAGCGTTTGCTTAGCCGGGGGCATCATTACTAGAAATCCAGCCTTACAGCGAGAGTCCTGGTTGCCAGACCAGTGGTACTTCCATCCTACTTTAAGCCGTTAATGCCCTTCGCTTGTTTGGCGAGTATGGTCTCGCTGCGCTTTGAATAATCTCGTCAGGTTCGTTGTCATTACCATTCAACGAACCCACTTTCCAGCAAGTGACACGTATCTTCTTACAGAATTGCGTTGAGTGCTTGTGGGGTGTTGGGTTTTTTGTGACGAGAGGTTTAACCATCCTGTGGATGTACATCGCGCATTGCACAGGTTTCATAAACAGCGCGCGATGCAGCAAAGTCTAGAAGCAACCTCTTACCACCGTGCACTATGGAATATTGATCTTGAGGGCAATATCGCGTTCATCATTCATATGATAATTATTTCTAACTTCTTCCTGACCTCAGTATGAAAAATTATTTGACTATGCGTTCATTTGCTTAGCTACATCGACAGAACGAGCGACGTGCAGACGGCTGCTTTGGTACTGCTGTTCACCGGTTGCGTGAACTCTTCAAATGAAGAGCGAGACATTGCCTATCGAATTGTCGACTCGTATTATTCGCTGCTCAATTCATGGCGTTTGTGGCATACGCGGGCTCGACTAGAAAACATAGCTAGAAAAAATGGTCTTTCAAATTCGTCTGTGAAGAATGCCGAATTCTTGCCACAGGTGAGAATTTGTTATTGTAGTACTTCTATGTATTATGCCACTATACGTTTTTTAAACTTCATTCAAATTCAACACAAACAAGTACCAGAAAAGCTACATAATCATATAACTTCGCTACAGTTTGATTACTGTTGAGAATCATTTAAACTAGAAATTTTTTGGACGCGTTTTCAGTTTGATCAGTTTCTGTACTCAAGCAAATATAGTAGAGTCATTTTTTTGCTTTCGAAATTCTGCTGGAAATTCAGTACAATTTTTAGCAGATTTTTTCTGATTTTGAAAGCGTTTTTTGGATATACGTGTTTTTCTGAGTGTTAGGTTTGTTGACACCCATATGCCAAGTGTTTTTGTTTTAAATAAGTTATTGTCTGAGGGTGTAGTTCTAAGATGGTTATAAACGTTATTCTTTCCACTTTCTTCCTATTCGTCTGTTGACTTACGTATGTTATTTGACGTTGCTTTTTGCAGCAGCTATTATTAGTTATTTGTTTTTTGTTATTGCTGATGTATGTGTTCTTTTACCTGTGTTCATTCTCTGGCTTATTATGCTGTCTCTTCGTACTCATTGTCTCGTCGTACTTATCGTGTTCTCTCTCATCGCAGTACTGGCTGAACTGGCGTTTTCTAATTCAAGCTTTGTTTCATTGACTTGGTGAGAAAACAGATACACGTTGTTTTTGCTCTAAATCAGACTTTCACTGCACTTGACCATATGATCAAACTTTCCAGAATTTGCTGTTTTCAACCGGCTGTGAATTTTGATTATGATTTGCATTTTTCAGATATATTTAACATGTAGCTTTTGTGGCAAACCCGCGTGCGGTCCTCCAGATAGACAGCGTCAGAAGCAGAAGTTAGGCAGTTGTTTAAACTGTAAAAAGCCTCTCCCTCGATGTACTCTATGCGGACTTCATCTCGGGACACAGCTTGTATCTTGCTACGGTAATCGAACGTTATCTTCGTTTTTTTCCGTTTTGACGTTCATGTTTTTGCTGCAAAGACGCGTCAGGAAAATCTAACAAATTTGGCTCTTGGTTCGCGTGGTGTCAGGCGTGTCGTCACGGTGGCCATACCGAACATTTAGCCACTTGGTTTGAGGTACTTCATACGTATTTTTGGACTGTTCTTGATCAATGTATTTTGTAATTCTAATTTTATAAGCAGCGCATAAGTTATTACATAAGCAAACATTATTGAAAACGGTGCAAAGATTATTATAGGAATGTCATTTTTCAATACACGCGAGGGTGATAAATTTTCTTCGCTTTTTCTTAACGCAAATGGATTTGAGCATGATATAAGATACTTTTTTATTTTACTCCCATTTTTTGGCCTCCGGCACTTAGGTCATCACCAGAGAAATTTTCTTCTAATCGCAAGGCTGTATACGCAATTCATTAGTAAATTATAGAAAAATTGCGAAGCAGCATGTGTAAAAGATAAACAAAAAATGTACAACAAATCCTAGTGTACTTTACAAGAAAGATAAACTGGATTTCATAATTGGAGCAGTTAAGGAGGGAGTGGTTTTGATTATTTTGGCTACATTATTGATTTCTAAGCAGAACACATCAATTGCTAGAGCTGATGTAGTTGTTACACATCCTTTCCTTGTTAAGTGAAATGTGTAGAAATTTTTTGATGAGTCGTGTGAGCCTGTTTTTTTCACAGTCAACGATGCTTACGTTTTATATGAATGATATATTTGCATTTTAACGGTAATCCCAGAAGACTCTGCATGGTTTCTCCTGGTATCATCTTAGTGTTCGTATGTCCTCACGTTAAGGGTCCTGTATATTTTACCGATGTAAATTTTATCGCAATTTTCGCAGCTACTCTGGTTAGCCACGTTAGATTTGTGGTAGTTAACTTTGGAGTATAATTGCCTGTATAAATTCTACCCTAGCTGGTTTGTTTTATAAAGAATCTGTTATCTTTTCTTCTGGAGATAATATTTAAGTGCGGAAGAGGTGCCAAGATTACACGGAACAGAAGGTCACACATGTTAGCTCCTCCGGCTTTTTCTGGCGACCGTATTAAGGATAATGAAGATAAGAAATTTAAGGAGTGCTTGGGCATCTATTTTTACGAAACATCATATTCCAGAAGATGCACTCATTATTAGCGATGCTATGGGGATAGATGCGGAGTGTTTGAAAATCAATGTAATTGTCTTTTTGAGTTTTGTAGCTTTCTGAAAACACCATAGGTGAATGGATCAGGTTAATTGTTCTTAACTAAGATTTCTAGAAACGGTAGTACGAGAGTTATTTATGCTAGAGATGACAACATGTTTCTCAATGTCAAAAATCGCAAAACAGTGCATAAAATCTTTGCTCACAAACATCCTATGGGAAGAATTGACGTTTTAGATCAAACTCGATTCGTCTTCAGAATCGTGATGAGTTTTTCACTGAGTCAGTTTCATCATGGGCGTCGTCTAGGTTGACTCTTGTCTTTGATGGTGCCCCGCTTGTTGACAATTGTGAACAATGACTGATTGATGGTTTCTATTCTGTATGTCACTCATCTGCCACAAGGTCATGATTTACGCATTTGGCAGTGCGGATTAGTAACGCTTCCTTGATTGTGCAAACAAGGTACTGTTTATCCGCTTGACGCTTTTCATGGTGTGCTGACAAATCACCCCATGCTATACTGTAGGGGATTTTCTTCACCTTCCGCTTTGATAACCTTAGCACCTCATGTTTATCACCGTTATGTTTTATTTGTTGGAGAAATCTTTCTTTAGAATTAGCGTTCTGATTAGGTTTCTTTTGTATTCGGTCTTCTTTTTTCCTCAAGGCTGTTGCCTGTTCCGTGTATGTAAACTGAACCACATTTGCAGGGAAGTTTGTAGGCCAACCCTTGCACCTGCTCGTGCTCTCTGTTCGTCTTCAGGTAGTTGAGATGACTGCGAAGAGGATACTGGATACTTGGTTTTACTTCACCGTTCAGACTGTTTGTAGACGCAGATTTTCGCTCTGTTGGTTTTCTCATTGGTTTAGCAGCAAGAAATGGCTTGTCTTGACTATTTCATGACGTCTTCCATAGGATAATTGTTTATTTGCCATATTACTTTGTTCTATGCGCAAATCTTGCAAATATGTTATAAAAACGTTTTTGTACAGAATCATCGGGGTATTGTGCGATTACTGGAGAAGTGCTGGTTTTTCGATGCCGCTGATAATAAGGATGATAATGTCCTGTCACTTGGACCACGGCTCTGTAGTATTTTAGAACCTGCAGTGCATTGAAGCAAGAAACCATCACAAAAATATGTTCGGACACATTGCAAAACTACTAATAATTGTTGCTGCTGTTGTTGTTTGTCGTAATCATCTTTATCATTCTTACGGACGTGCACGCTACTTAAGATGTGTGATATCCGCACATTTTCGTTTATCCCATTTTGATATGATAGCTGTTAACTGCGTAAACGAAGGAAAGATTATTTATCATGGATAGATCTCCGTTTGCGTTTTTCTGCCATTTTATGACGTCAGTAGGTGACGTGTTAGAGTTACTCTTCATCAGTTGGTTACATATAGTCGAACCACGCCAGCTGTTTTCTGTTAGCCATTTCAATCCTTCAGGAAGATCGGCTAATGTTAAGACTCGGTCATTACTTATCACTTGATCATCAGCATCCACCATAACTAGTGCTGTTTTGGGATGTCTAGTCGATGTTTCTGTACTCTTCTCAATGCAATCATTTCTTTTTCATCGGACAGAACTAGTCTGACAATACCTCGAGATAGTCAAATCTAGGTGGTGCTGTTATTTCTCTTTAAGTCTAAGCGTTCATTTGGCTTTCAAAGGTGATTTCAGCGTAATCCCACACTTCCCATCCCTCGAAATGTTGGCGTCATAATAGGATATTTGAACTGCGAGTCTTTTTCAATGATGCAGATTCTAGGAGATATCTTTGGCTCCACGGTAGCTTCTGGATTCTGCATCACTTTTTGTCTTTCTACGCTTCAACTTGAAGCCTGCTTTAGCTACAGTTTTGCTGGTATTTCACCGAACGAGCGAATGCTATCTTCGCTGTGGCCCAGCAAGATGATATAATCGGCATATTCTAAATCTGTTAGGCCATTATTTCGCCACGTACTTTGAACTTCACCCCCTTTCCAACAAGAAGCTATCCCTGCATTGCGTTTCATCGCTATTTCGTGGAATTCGATCTGCTACACTTTAAGAAGCAAAGAGATAAGACCGCTGCCCTGCCCGACCCTGTTTTTGGTTTCAAATGAATCTGAAATCCGTCTTTAAGGTTTTCACTTCTCTGGGATGCTGAAATTGTATATGATTCTTCAAATTGCTCAGCGGCGAATAAAATCATCACGGCACAAAAATCGACAAAGCTGTTATGTTAAGTGAACTGAAATCGGTACTGTTTAATAACCCGGTGTAGAGGATATATATATGGTCAGAGCAAAAGTATTTATCTCAAAATCCTATCTGGTTCACTAGTAATTCCTTTCAAACTTCTGCCATAGCCGTTCCAGGATGGCCATCGAGGATATCTTTCCCAGCGTCGACAACAGTAATTCCGCGATTGTTCTAGCATCAAGTGTTATTTCGACCATTTTGGATTCAGGATTATGATTTCTTTGTTCCAGTCTTCAGGGAATTTCTTTTCAGTCGACATAAGCTGGAAGTGTCTCTGGAGCTTTAACAACATGCGGTCGGCACCAAATTTTATCTGCTCACTTTGTGTACCATCCGCGCCGTGGATTTGCTCTCCTTTAGGCTCTTCAAGGCACCTATTTTATTTGTTACAGGGTGGGGTAGTGGCTCAAAGGATACATCCAACGGTACCTGTCAATGTTCAGTAGCTCATCAGCTGGCTTGCGAAATGTTCGCCCTGTCGTTTCGAGTGATTGTCATAGTCTGGAAGCGGGTTGTCTTGTAGGTAAGTGATGAGAGCAACGTTAGACGATGCTCATACGGATAATCACTTCACATCTACAGTATTCCTGCACCATCCAATAAACAAAGTACCGCTCTCTTCTGTTAGCCTAAGCTTCCATATATTTCTTATAGTTCGTCAACCTGTCACAGCCGAAGTCTTCCAGTCTAACGTTTGGCTACCAATCCTTCACTAATGAAATCCATCGGTCATCCCTCGGTCAGACAGCGTGACCTGCTGATTGTTGTTTTCTTTCTTTTGAAACTGATACAGCGTCCTTTATTGTCGTGAGTCTTTATATTTCATTATTCTGCAGCTTGTCTGTGGCGAAAATTCTTTGCTCAGAAATCTGTCTTTCCATAGCCCGCCGTTGCACTCTTAACAGTTTTTCATATTTTTTGCTCAGGTCTCATAGCCATACGAGCCAGTTGACAGTATGGTGCTTTCATACAGCGTGGTTCTTAGCGCTAATATTAATTGTTTTGAAGAATATCAGCGTTGCTATTTTCGATCAAGCACTGCACCTTCTGCACCAAGGGAATCATCTGAGGTTATTAGCTGTCTCAAGTAGACATACAAGATGTCTACTTCTGTTGATAATCATTCATGACGTTGTTTCTGAATTCGTGTCTGATCATCTTCGTCTTTGCCCTGTTTCCCATCAACATGGTGTCTTCAGCAAGTCGAAAATGGGAGAATCTTCTGCCGTTGATAAAAAATCCTCTTCCGTTTCATTTTGCGCGGTAAACATCTTTAAAGATATAATATCGTCTTAACGATTCCACTAGGAGCCCCTTCAATCGCATCTTCAAGAAGCTCAGTTTTCATGCTGCAACTTCTGTATGCTTCGAGTAGAATTCAAATCTATTTTTCATCTGTTCCGTGCTCTTCAAACACACGGAAGACTGCTTCATGTTCCGTCATGGCAGACTCTTTTTCACAAGGTTTTCAAGAAAAATTTTGTAAATAGGCAATCTGTGTTCATTTCACCTTCTACTTATTCTATTCCGCTGATTCGCTACTTTGAAGTGGTCGAGTATAGAAAATTTTGCAGCTTCTCTTGTTCTTCCAGTTACTTTCTTGGATGATTTGACTGCATTTTCTTGAAAGGCTTATACACTATGGATGGCAAGCATAGTCCTATAAATTTTCAAGTTTCCTTTATCACCTTTCTTGCATAGAAATACTCTCTGAGAGGGTTTTCCGTCTCTTAGCATTTCGCCTTGTTGGAAG